GCAACAACAGAACAGAGGCACAGCAAAAAGCTATTCCTTAGCACCAATGATCTCACACCAACAAAAATCATCAAAGCATCACTTAAATACCAAGCTTCTCACATTTATCGATTCCAGGCGCCACTGGATGTGACTCAATGTGAAATTACAAGTTTAAGAACAAATTTAGCTTGACATCAATGAAAGAAGGCCTAGCTGTTCTTTAACTGTTCATCTCTGCCATTGTGCTTGGCCATGACACACTGTCAAAACAGATACTCATGAAGAAGGCACAAGCCAAGCAGAACAGCTAAAGCAAGGGAAGCTTGGAAGTGTAAGATACCACCTCCTTTTCCTAGGATAAGGAAGATGCTGTAACATTAATCTCAGTTTAGTGAGACCATGCAGAGATCTCCCTCACACAACACAACTGCTGATCCACTGTGACTGGCAGTTTCATGAACAGGAGAGTGTTCAGGTGTACCTTGCATACAATAGTCAGAGAGGTAAACCAAAAGATCCTCCTGCAAAAAGGACTTATTTTGGTGAACCTAGAGAGCCAGACAGAGAAGGGAACAATGAGCAGACTGTGGCAACACCACGTGCAGGTGGCCACCCTCCCAAAGCACAGAAAATATTAAATAAAAGATCAGAGATCAATTCTCCAAGAACTCTTGGGAAATAACTGAGAACCAATCACACAACTCGGGCAAGTTCACGTACTCCACAGCTTTGTGCCTGGAGTTACCAGGAACCGCCCACCTGCAATGAATTTACAAGTTGTGCAAACCTTGTGTGTCATTATGACTCCTATTGTGCTCTCCTTGTCATGGGAGCATGACAACACCAAAGTTTCAAAACGCTACAGCAGAACAAAGTCTTTGCACTGAACAACATTATTGCAAATGATGCAAATCTCTTTGTAGGCTTTGCTGAGAAGCGTGAATCAAAGAGAAGAGTGGCTTGTAACTTTGGAACAGCATTTTACACACAGTGGGTCAATGGAGTAAACCACAAAAGCATTTGCTTCTTAAAGCAACACAAAGAGATCCAGCTAAAAGAAACTTTTATATGGGAATCAGAGTTTTCATACCAGTTTCTGCACAGAAACCAAACTTTCAGCTACCACCAGTCCCTCCCTCCTTTGATATTGTAAAGAAAGATCAGGGTACTAGCAGTATCACACACTGTTATTGCCATGTAGTAACTGCAAGACATATGTTTAAAACCTCTGTTACTCCTTGACATTTCTCAAGCTTCTATGTCAGCCAAGAAAAGACACACCTCTTCCATAAGCAATTCCCAGGAATAATTGTGTTACCATACCAGAAAGTCGCTAGAAGATAGAGGGCTCTCAACTGGTTTAACTCCTCCAGTACTTTTCTTTGGTCAGCTGTTACAGCAGATGCAATTTGTTCAAAACCAAATAAAAGACTTTCCTCAGCACCATTCTATGAAGATGTTTGAGAACTCTTCTCCCTTCCCAATACCATGGACTCTATGGAGCCCCTTGCGAGGCCACAAGTGGGATTAGAGACTGCTCACTACTGGCAGAGATCATCCTTGTCCCTTCCGTGGGCTGGGCTGTCCTTACAAGGAACGTGCCAGGATGCACGGAGAACCCCTGGGACCTGCCACCGCTTTGCATTCCGCTTGCCAGAAGCACCAGCTTCCCGAATCAAAGCTAAAATCACCAGGCAGCTGCTTTGGGCACACAGCTTCACCTGGGACTTGGTAAAGCCAGATATTCCAGTTGACTGAAGTGCTTTCAAAGTGCTACAAAGAGCAGCGTTCCCCACCAAGTAAGACATTACAACGGACAGCTTTTACTACCACAATCTCAGCGGAGCTGTCCTCCTGTCTTGTCACTGCCCCCACATCAGTGTAAGGCTTTGTATCGTTGACTACAGAAACACAGAACCTGCTTCGCCTGCTCTACACCTTCAACAACACTAAACACAAACACACAAAGCTTTCTCCAAAGCCTCACCTCCAGGAGAGATGTCAGCAACAGCCCGTTCCAATGGCACAATGAAGGGCAACCCGAGCCAAACTTGTTTCGCCTTTTTGGTTCACCTGCTTGCAGCCTGTTAACAGCAACGCGGTCCCTCACCCATGAAACTCTGAAAACTTTGGGGAGGAAAAAGAACTAGTAACACAATGCATCTTAATACAGGCAGGGATTTGAAGGGGAAAATAAAAATAAATAAAGAGAAAATGCTAACGGAGAGTCCCAAGGGAGTCCCTGCAGCTCTCGTTCATCACATCTGCTCGGGAGCAGCTGGACACGGGCAGGGGCATCTCCCACGGCAGGCGGGGAGGGAGCAGCTCCCACCGCCCCCCACGGCGGCCCCGGAGCAGCCCCGGCCCGGCCCCGCTCCCCGAGGGCCGAGCAGGAAGTCCCGGCGCGGCCCCCGCCGCCACCTCCCCCGGGAAATCCCGGGATGCGGAGCCGCCGCGCGGTACCCGCGGGGGGCTGCGCGCTCCGGCCGGGACAGACACAGCGCAGCGAACCCCAGAACGGCAAACAAAAACCCAACAACGCTCCGCGCCAGCGCTCAAGTTCCGCGGGGAGCCCACACCGGTGTCCGGGTGCGCGGGGGCTCCAGGCGCGGGCAGCCCCAGGCACGGCCGAAGTGGCCCCGGCACCGGCGAGCACCTGCCGGCCGCGCCGGAGGGGCCGCGCCGCACAGGGCGGGCGGGCACGGCCGGGGCCGCGCCGGCCGGATCCCCCCGCCGGGACCCCTTCCCCGGAGCCCACCCCGCGGCCCCCGCGGCCCCAGCGAGCAGTGCTCACCTGCGGGGGCTGGGGCCGGGCCGCCCCGGCCGCGCTCCGCTCCGCGCCCGCTCCCCCCGCGCTGCGCGGCGGCCTCGCTCCGCGGGCACCTCCGGGAGGGGCGCGGCGGGGGCGGGACCGGCCGCGGCTCCGCCCCCTAGGGGGCGGGGCAGCGCTATGCAAACAACCTCTGGGCGGGGCCTAGTATGCAAATCACGCCCGGCCGCGGCCCCGCCTCGCTTTCATCCGGCGCGCTCATGAATAATTCAGTAGCCCAGCCCTCCGCAGCCAATCAGAGAGCGGCACCGCGCCGCTCGCGGCTCGCGGGCACCGACCCCGGCCTTGGCACCGGGAAATCCAGCCGGGAAAACCAGCAGGGAAAGCCGCTTCCAGGGCCGGCGCAGCGCCCTCCTCCAGCCCCGGAGCTGCCGGCCTGTCGTGACAAAGAAACAGAAAGACTTTTCGGAAAGTCGGAGCCCTCGCCGGAGAGAGGGACACAACGGCTGCTCTTGCTGCTGCAGCAGCCAGCCCGTGTCCTGCGGCAGGAAACAACAGCTGAGCGAGGAATCTGCACCTATGCAGCGTGCAACGGCAGCCCAAGGTCTGCCGACCTCTCTGCATCCACGTAAAAGCTCGGAATTACCTCTGACAAGGGGCCAGGAACAGTCAGTGTTTCACCCGCGCTTCCAAAAGCGATGTTTTTTCAATTAAAGTATTTATTTCTGTCGTCTTCTTGCAACACCCAGCCGATGCGCATCGCAGGCCAAGGTGGAGCAGTGGTATCAGTCTGCATCGTGCTCCCATCCTGGTAAAGGCACTGTCAGATGTTGTGGTGCTGAGCAAGGCAGCCACAGTTTCTCAATCCTCCCTGCACTTGGTTATTAAATTGTAATTGTCTTTTGCTGAATCAGGGAGTCTCTGCCCCAGCGAAACTCACTGGGTGGCTCTCGTAGAGTTCATCGATACAATTCCACCTTGGCATAAGGAGGTGAGACTGATTGAAATCAACAGGAGTGAGTTTGACCTAATTCCAGGACAAACATGAGCCCTGTGGGTCAGGCTGGAGCTCTCCTGGCTGCGCCCGTTCTTAGAAACTCCCTTCCCACTGCCTTTAATCTGTAAAACAGTCTGGGACAGCGCTGAGGGCAGGTGGAGCTGCCAACCCCGGCTTTGAAGAGGACTATCGGAGCCAAAGCGGGGCTGGAAGGAGGAAGAGGAAGGGGAGGGAGTGTGGGAGGAGCCGTCAGACCCTCACCTCAGCAGAACCCCGCCGACTTCCAGCATCTGATAAGCGCGGGGTGTGTGTGTGTATGTGAAACCGGACCAGGCTGGCAGCAGAGCCCTGCCACCTTGGGCTACGATACCTCTGACCACGCAGGAGAAAGAGTGGTGTGCCGACAGGAACTGCAGGCGGATGTAGGGACACCTCCAGGCTCTGAGTCACACTGCCCTGCCAGGGAACAGGGCAGCAGCTGGATCCAAACACACACGGGCGTAGGAGCAGGGTTGTGTGACCTTGAGCAGGCGCTCACCAGCTGCTGCTACTGGGCTCCCAGTAGCCTCCACAGAGTCTCCCTGTGCATAACTTAACATTTCTAGGGGAATTAAGGACCACAATGAGGAGCTTGCATTGTTGGAAAAAGATTTTTTTATTGCTTAGCCTTCTCCACATCTCCAAAAGGAATTAAAAAAATAGCAAATGAAACACATCTAAATCAGTTGCTCTTACAGTTCTGAAAATCTTGATACCAAACACAGCCATGCTCAGCTCACTTCCATCCACTGAGCAGACCTTCTGGCACCTGGCACTTTTTGCATAGACGCTAAAGCAAATTTGGTACCAAGATATCCTGGTGGAAAGCAATGATATCCTTGGTTTGGAGGACAACAGCCACAGGACTGGAAGGCTCATTAGGAATTTGCAGCTTTTTTCTTTACTGAGGGATCTCTCACTTGCAAGAGAAATAACAAGGATCCACAGCCAGGAAAGAGGATGTTGGGCTGAAACAGAGAGGCTGCAGTTCAGCCCTGGTGAGACTATCAGAGACAGTGTGCTGACAGTGCTGGTCAAACTTTAACATGGTTTAGCACAGCTGCTGCAGCACGAGGCCGAGGTGCCATCTGCAATGCTCTGGGGCTTTCCGTGACCTCTGCCTGATGAAATTGTGTTCAAGGCACACTTTCCTGCTCTCGAGTGCCTGGAAACTTTACTCCAGGTGACTGAGTTTATGTCCATGCCTTTTTCAGATCAGAATCTGATCTGTTGGTCGTTGGCAGAGCTGAATGACAGAAGCTCAGGACAGCACCACTGATCAGCTTATTCTGTCCCCAGCTGACCTCAGTGACACTCCATTCAACTGGTGTAGCACAGTGCTTCTTAACATGTGACAAGGATCACCAGGTAAGGTGTTTGCTAATGGTCCACAGGTCAGTGAAAGATGACAAAAAAGGCAGACTGGTGGTCCACAAGGTGAAAAAGCTGGAGAACCAGTGGCTTCAAGAACAAAGACGTGTTTACTCCAGTCCAGAAATGCCCAGCTAAGCCATACACACTTGTTTGCTGTAAATCATGCTATTATGTCTGAGCCATCTGGGCAGGTGAAGTCTGTTACAGACATAAAGTGGTCAACTACCCAAGGTTCCAGGTTCTATTTTCTGTAATATTGGATTGATCAGGACAAAAAATCCTGAGCAGAGCTCTTCCCTTCATCCCATACCATTCCTGCAAGTGACAGCAGCTTCAGTGACTAACATCAAGAGGCAACTTGAATTCCTTCAGTGAATAGAAGGTGATTTCCCCGTGATCCACCAGCGCGAAGACCAGCGGGACGTCCCCGCTCAGGTACGTCACCTGCTTCAGAGCCCGCAGGGACGGGATCTGCTCATCGAAGCTGCAGGGAGAAAAAAAACATCCTGTTTGTTCTCAAAGCAAGAGGAACACAGAGGCAAAGCTGTCCTGGCCAGCCATCACAACAGCTCCCTTTGGCCTGAGGAGCTGGTAGTGATCCTCCACACCCCTTCCAGTCAAAGCAGGAGGCTGCCAGCCCTGAGAGCGAATACGCAGCATGCCGGGAACTGGGAGCTGTTGAATCCTTTGCCAAAAAAACAAGGGCAACTGCACCCTGCTCCCCACTGTGCCTATCAGATGTGGCTCACAGGGATATTGGCACATTGCCAGCCCAGTGCAATCGTAATACCTCTCTGCTGGGAAGATCTTTAGGTTGCTGGGATCAACATCTGACCTGCTTTTCCCTCCTTTTAATTCTATAGAGTCTGTTTGCTCATCAATGAAAGTATTCTTTGCAACAAGGATCATCCTACTGCTCATGATATACCTTTGTAAAACTGCATTAACAACTTCCTTGCTCTGTCTACTACAGCTGCAGAGAGCATGGGTACAGGTTTAATGTAGGAAAATGAGAAAAGGTAGACACTGAACTTTGTACCTGGATATGGAGTTTTAAGTATCAGGTTCTGGATTCAGCAAGAAACAGGACACCTACCCTCTGTTCATACTGATCTTAAAGTTACACTTAACAAAGATCAAAATACTGAGCCATAGCCCAGGGCCTGTAGCAAGCTCTAGGGAGGTTCCTCTCTGCAGAAATCCATAGGGATTGACTGAGGATTCAGGGGCCATACAGCTCCCTTGCAACTCAGCTCTACCTGAGTTTCACAAGCATTTCATAAAAACAGCTGTGGCTTCTTATTCCTGACTCCCAGTAATACTCAGACATGAGCAGCAACCAGATGACCAAACAGTGTGACCTGAGTGCAAGGGCTGGGGGAATTGTCAGCCACAGCCTCCAACAAAGGAGGAAATCAAAGAAAAAAAAATTCTAGGCAGGACCACTCTCCAGGGAGGCACTCTGATGATCTGTAAAGCTCACAAGGTGCTGGCTCATTTACAGATCATTAGGACTTCAATTCCACAACAGCAACTGCAACGTGCCAGAAAAGAGCATAAGATTCATGGGTACCTCCGAACACACATCCTGACATATGGCTTCCCAGGGTTTGTCTTCTTAAACCTGGACACGGCATCTGCTTGATACACATTGAAGTCTATCTTCATGGCCTCTGGGTCCTCCTGCAGCCTGCAGAAAAGAACACACCCACATAGCATGGGATAGAAACACTGTAGGGTACTCATACAGGAGAGCAAAGAGGCAGAGGAAACTCCTGAGCCCTGACTAGTCTGGAGCCTTTGAAAGGCTTCACTCCTCAAAGGACTGACCCTGCAACTGTTCTAATTACTTTCCAGAGCTCTCCTGCAGACAGACCAGAGCAAGATCCTGCCCCACATCTGCCCCAGTCCCTTCTCTGCAGAGCCCCTTGCAAGAAGCAGCACTAACAGAGACGGGAGCAAAACACTGCAGGGACTCCACACAAGCACCGCACAGACTCTGAGGCAGGTGCAGAACCAAAGTCCCAAAGCCAGGGTTTTATATCCACCACAGCTGGGATGGCAGCACATTCCAGGGATCAGGCACAGGTGAAACCAAACCAAACCTCTGAGGGAGATTACCAGGCTTGGGTGCAGAGGGGAGATAGCAGGATAACAGAGCAACCCTGCTGTTTTAATTGGCCTGGAAAGCCCTGGATCTCTTGCTGCAGGACCTGGTACTTCATGGAAATGTCAGCCCCTCACTACGGATGCAAGGGGGCCATGGAGCAGAGCACTGGATTCTCTTGCCACCCTGGATATCAGGCAGCTCCCAAACTGCCACTGTGAGCGTCTCATAGACCTCACAAGCAGGGACGGTCACAAGACACCCCTGCTCCCAAACAGCTACAAGCTGACTGGCTGGATACTAACCGGGAGGCTCCATCCAGGATGTGGGAGGGCTGCAGCACACTGATCTGCTGGAGGAGCGCAGCTGGAGGGAGAAGGAACAGGAAAGGATCAGACCAGCAATTTCCCTCCCAGGGCACTCCAAGCACTCCACCACCACCCACGAGCCTTCCTCCCCCGACAATGGCTGGCAGCACCACAGTCACCACTGGCTACTTCAAAGGCCTCAACTTCCTCATCTCCTCCCAGCACACAGCCCAGAACACCCTGCAGTTGCTTTGCATCTTGCTGGCCCTGATTGCATATGCCTAACAGCCTAGCAGGAAGGCTTGCAATACAGCAGGACATGGGGAATGGATTAGAGGACCTCCCAAGGCCCTGTTTATCCTGGCACTTGAGTGGGCTATAGAAAGATTCTCCTGCTCAAAGCACTGTCCCCTAAACTGATGTTCAGCTTCTCCATGTCATCCCTTTTGCTGCTGCATACCAGGCTCCGTTTCACAGAGCTGGGGGGGGAGAATGGTCCCTGCCAAGTTCCCACAGCCACTACCTGACGAGGTAGCTTCATCTGGCCGCAGAAGTGGCGTGACAGCTTGGTCCCAGAGATGTGATGGTCGTTTCCAAACCCTCTGCTGTCTCCTCTGCTCCAAAAGGGCTTTGTACTCCTGCCAGTTGGAGCAGCGCCTCACCTCCTGGTCGGCATTGACGCTGCTCTTATACCTGCTCTCCCTCTCCCGCTGCCTCCTCTCCTTCCGGGTCAGCTTCTCCTGTTTCTGGTTGATGCGTGTGCACCAGGAAACTGCATCCACCTCCCTCCCTGGCACGTTCTCTGGCAGGAGCCTGTTGTCAGGGGAGGGCAGGTGTGTGCACGGCTGGTCTGGGGCCACGTTTGGAAAGGTGATGGTGGTAAAATCCCAGCGGGGTGCACGGGTGCCACTGCTGCTCTCCTTGTGGTCTTCAGCCTGGCTCCTGGAGGGACTCAGAGAGTTCTTTTGTCCTGTATCAAGAGGAACTGGGTTTGACTCCTGCTCTGCACTGCCAGCATCTGATTCCTTTGGCTGTACTGACAAGGGCTTTTCATCCATGGGAAGGCACGTGGAGTCTCCACAGTCATCTCCATCTTTGCTGGAGGTCCCTTCAGCTCCTGGAAGGTCCTCAGATACCTTATGTTTCTTTTCATGTGACCTAAAGACAGAAACAGCAGCATAAAAGACAGGGAGAGCATGTGGTGGAACTTGATTTCCTTTGAATCCTGCCCCCTCCCAGCTAACAGGAAAAATACAGCCTGCCAAGGCTTAAGGAAGAACAGCAAAGGTGGCAGGAAACCCCAGGCAGGTCTGCAAACCCTTGCAACAACCTCTTGGCTTGTGTGACAAATGAGAAGGGAGAAAAGCAGGCCAAAACCAAGCAGTGAATACCAAAGGCAGAATAAACTTTTCCGAAGTCCTGCATGAGGTTTGACTTTGATGCCCAAGAGAATCTCAGCCTTGATTTGTATAGACACATGTTCCCAACCTGCCATGCAGCCTCCACGCTCCACTGACCCAAACACCTCCATGCAAACATGATGGACATCAGCCAAAGCAGCACAGGCCAGGCAGAAACCTGCCTGCCAGCACCTCTTACTGGTATGAGAGTCAATCCCTGGTTCCAGAGAAGATGGGGCAATTCTTAGACCAGCAGTTTAATCTCCCAATTCCTACAATTTCACAACTCCTCGGCACTGATTTACTGTTAACAGGGACTCACGGCCCAGCCTCTCCTCCCCATTTCTGAAAGGCTGACGCCACCTCCTGGGAGCTGCCAGAATTATTAGCAAAATTACTAAATCTGCCAGTTGCTGTTGACATTTTGGCAACATCTAGAGGCCACATGCAAACCCCAGGTGCTCTCTGCTGTAGAGTCCTGGCATGTAAGTTGGACTGAGGAGGTGGATAAGTGCAAGATGTGAATGGGGTATCTGTGCTCCCACTACAAAAGAGCAAGAGGAGACACCTGACCCGTGTTTCTTTTGCACTGACCTCTCTACTCTTCTGTTTTGGCACCTCAGCACCACAGCTGTGGGGCTCAGGAGCAGTTTGCCCCTCTTAGCCCTGGATGAAGTACACATGTGACAAAAGGGAACACTGCAAAGTGCCCAGGAAAAGCGCTCCACTGCTTGGGGACAGCCAAGAGCAATTGCGCCAGATAAGATCACTCACAGCACAAGGGCCTGGGGACACTGCAGCAAATCAGCTGTTCCTGAGCCAGCATGGCCTGGGAGAGGATGGGAGAAGGCTTTGGGCCACTTCCTTACCGGGGGCTGGAACTCCTCCTCCTTTTGCGATGGTGTTTCCCAGAGCTCTTGCAGTGACTTTCCAAGTTCAGTTGCCTCTCGTAGGGAGACGGGACAGTGCTGAAAGGAGAGACCAACACAGAGGCTGAGAGCAGGGTGAGGTAGTGGAACTAGCCTTCTGCTCAGTCCCCAGGATACAGAAACAAAAGGCACAGAAAATCCCCAAGAAGGACCAGGATGGTCCTCAGTTCATGCCCCATTTCATGTTCCCAATCACCTCCTCAAGAGGGAGGAGCAAGGAAGGGTAGAGTGCCACTTTTAGCCTTTAATCCTCCCAAGAGATGGAATGCAGGGCCAAAGTCCTCTTCTCTGCTGTTCCCTGGGGCCAGGCAGTGGGCACAGGGCCTTCAGAAAGGAGAAAGCAGTGGGGAAAGGAAAAGTTGGTTACCTGGGGTCGAATCTCAGTACAATATAACCCAGTTGCTTCAAGTGGCTGAACACCTTAGAGCAAAGGAAAGCAAGAGGGTTAAATGACGACCCTAAACCCAAACTATTTACTTCAGTTTCACCACAACTGAGTGAACAGTGTGGCACTGGCAGCAGAGAAAACGCCAGGGTTAGGGTCCAAAGCAAAAGTGGGGAAACAGGACGAAGGTGAGTGGGAACAACTGTGAATGACGTCCCTCCCCTCCCTCACTGTCCTACTCTGCTTCCAGTCACTGGAAGAGGTTGTGTGGCAGAGGCTGGGCTCTGCTTTCACCCTCCCTGCAACAGCAGATCCCAACACACCTGGTAGTGTGACAGGGTCATTGTCTCCTGGCACAGCAGGGTCTCGTAGGCTTCCTGGATTGACATGGGCAGATCCCTGAAAAAGAGCTGGACAGAGCCCTGCAGGGCAAAAGCTTGGTGTGAGAGAATCACAGGGAACAAATCCATGCAAGCTCACACCAGTCTCTTCCCACTGGTCCTGACAGCTGGTCCCAGCACCCTCCCTGACATGATATCCATCTCTCCCCATTTGCCAACCTGGATTACTTACAGTCCCTCTCCCATGCCCAGCTCCTCCATGCCCTGGGTTTATCAGCCAGGTAAGAAGTTCCCACCCCCAACTCTCACCTCCTGCTCCAGTGCTGCATCTGTTTGGAGGATGCAGCTGGGACCAAAATGCTCAACTGATAAAATAATCATTGTTTTGAGAGATAATTTAACTTTGATGATCTCAGCGATTCAGGACACAGCACAATCACAAAAATATTTATGACCTGCACAGCTGAGAGAGCTGAAGAGAGGAATAGGAGGCATCCTTACATGCCATCAGTTGGTGCCTCCTTGGAAGCATTTACTGCAGCCTGAGAGATCCCATAGGTAGCTTCCCCAAGGAAGAGGTGAAACAGGAAAACCAACCTCCAGGAGGCAGCTTTAGGTTACGCCTCTTTTTTCTCCCCTTTTTTGTTTTATAAACTGTGTTACTCATAAAGAAAACTAAACACTAGGAACCGCACCTTTCCCATGGGATGGGCTGATGGCATCTGACTGATCTTTTCTGCTTTTGGGGAGAGATTCTATAGTCAGCAACTCACTAAACTATTGTCATCAGTTTGTTTACAAACTGTTCATCAAAATGCCAGAGGTAAAAAAGCCTGACCTTTGCTGTTAGGATTTAAGGGATGGCATCAGATGGCCATAACGTGTTTCAGTTTTGCTAAGGGATAAAAGTTCCCCTTTATATCAATGCACCTATTCTACTGATAAAAGGCTTTGGTGGAGAGACAAAAAAAAACACTCTTTACAGCAAAGAAATCCAAGTGAACCCTAAGCAGTATTTCTGCAGGCAGAGGAGCACTGAACACAGCCGGGTCTCACTCCTCTGTCTGCCACACGTAAATTTCTTTCTGTCATATTTAAATTTCTCTCTGCCATATATACTGGGAAAAAAAATCCCAAGCAGCAGCCCCAAAGACCTCTTAAGTGAGTTAAACATGACACCAGGTGAATAAACTGGCCACCAATCCAACTACACTGCCAGTGACACAGAGGCTGCTCCAGAGTACAAGGGATGAACCCATGAAAACATGCTAAAAAGGGACAATTCCTTGAGAACCAGGTGTTTATCAGCTGCTACAGCTCCTGCAATCATTCAGTAAGGACCCAATGCCCCCATCCTACTTACACACTCCAGCAGGTACAGAGCTTCCTCAGGCAGCAAGCACTGTTTGCCTCGCTCCGAGAACCCCATGGTGTGCCAGAACTTCCCCTGGAACAGAAGCACAAATCCCTGATGGGCTCTGGCTGTTCCCTGCTGACAACCAGGCTCCCTCCCATTTCAAGAAGCAAATTAAGGAATCTGTGAGGCAGCAGGAGGTGATGGCACTGAGTACACTCTGTAGCAACTCACCGCAGGGGACAGCAGCTCCACGATGCCCTGTCCTGGCTTCCACTCAGCTTTTACCTGATTCCCCCTGAGAAGGTTAAAGATTAGTTTGTTACCACTGCTATGTCCTACAATCAGCTCCTAGTGTAGCAACACAAGGAGCTCAGGAAGGTGTCAAAAGGCAGAAAATTTACAGGTGGCATTTTTACAGGGTAAGATGTCAGAAAGACATCATCCCCTGGATGAGGCAGCACCAGCTGAATGGTTTATTACCACCAACTAGTTAAAAGTGCCTTCAGTCAGCACCACAGATGCATGTCCATAGGCTACAGCAGCCTGCTGGAGATGCATGGCCTAAGCCAGGATATATGGATACTGAGGCCTTGGCACAGGTTGCCCAGAGAAGCTGTGGCTGCCCCATCCCTGGATGTGACCAAGGCCAGGTTGGATGGGGCTTGGAGCAACCTGGGCTAGTGTAAGGTGTCCCTGCCCATGGCAGGGGGTGGAACAAGATGATTTTTAAGGTCCCTTCCAACCAAAACCATTCTGTGATTCTGTATCATACAATTGTTGAGCTGCTGCCAAGACACACTCAAATTGCTGTATCCCACCCACAGGGACTCACAGGGAAAAATCAATAGCTGCAGGCCAAACAGAGAAAGTGTGTGTTGAGAGGCACTGTGTGAACATCTCTCAAGGAGTGATAAGCTCCAGAGACTGGCAAGGTTGTTGAAACCACCAAAATTGATAAACCAGGGACACTGAGAGCCAGACAAATCAGCACAGGGCCACACAGGAGCATCAACAATGTGCTCTGTAACTCGGACCATGCCCAAGAGGACAGTGGCTGCTGTCTGCAAAGACTTACAGGATTATACACACACCTGTGAAAAACAGAAGCCCCTTGAGGGACTTTCTAAACAGCCACAGGTGTGCCAGCGTGTCCCTCTGCTCCTGCAGGAAGACCCAGGCTGTGTCCCCTGCTGCTGCTGCTCCAGACGGGGAAAGCTGTGTGCAGGTGAACTTAGAGGGGACTTACTGTGCTAACTAACACCTCCCTGCTACGACAGCTCGATCCTACCGATAATAACCCGTGAGCTGAGCTCTGCCCCCCCCCAGCATCACTCCTCCCGGGGACCAAGCCATGCCCAGCCCCAGGGCCGGACTTACGGCCGCTCCACGCGCTCCTCGGACAGGATCCGCCACTGCTCCTCGCAGCACCGCCGCAGCCTCTCGGCCTGGCGGGCCGAGCCGTCGGGGAAGAATTCCTTCTGCCCGCGGGGACACCGCGGGGCCGCGGGGCCGCCACCCGCCGGCCGCTCCTCCGTGCTAAGGGGGGACAGAAGAGTTGGTGGTGAGGGGAGAGGGCCCGACACCCCGCTGCGGCCGCCCAGCCCGGGCACCCCCAGTGCCCTTCCAGGCCCCCCGGCCTGCGGGTCCCCCCTGTGCCCCCCCAGGCCGCCCCGGTCTCCCCGCCCGTCCCCACCTGAGGCGGCGGGACCCGCCGGGCTCCATCAGCGCGTCCTTCCGCCGCCGGGCAGGAGCGCCCACAGAGCGCGGCGGGCGCCAGCGCGCCCCCTGGCGGCGCGGAGGACTGCGAGCGGCGGGCACCGGGAAAGGGAACGGGAGCGGGGCGGGAAAAGGGTAGGGAATGCGACACTCGGCACCGGGGAGGGCTCCGGGGATGTGCAGGGAGCTTTGCCCCGCGGCTGTGACCCAGACCCACTGGGCTGAGCTGCCCTGGGTTACCGCTTGCTGCTCCCACTGCCCGCTCCGCAGCTGGGATGGGGAGAAGGGGAGGCGAAACGGCTCGTGGGTTGGGATAAAGGCAGTGGGATCGCTCACCGATAACCCAAACGGGTAAAACAGGCTGGATTTAAGTAAAAAAAAAAAAAGTTAATATATTTACAATTAATGTTAGTCACAAGCTTGGATATCTGCACCATTTGGGGCTTAAGGGAGCACACCAGCTCCTGGACCAACTCTTCTCCTTCCCCCCGACCATGCTGCTCATACGGCTGTCTCACACTCTCCTCCCACTGCATTTTGCCCTTTCTTTAAGGCATTTGCCCAGAGGTATCACCAGCATCATTGACGGGCTCAGCCGTGCCCTGCCGTGGGGCTGTTCGTGAGGAACCAGTCGAAAGCATCTGCAAGTGGCTGCATCCCCAGAAGCATCTGCAAGTGGCTGCATCCCGCACGGGGCAGCCTCAGCCTCTCCTCCCGAAGCCCCCGGGCTGGGCTGAGCTCTCTCCCATGTGCTACAGCCCCCGGAGCAGAGGCAGCGGTGCTGGGGAAGGAGGATTCTCCTTTCAGTGGGTGTCACTGTTCCTCCTGGCTCGAGCTCCAGCGGTGCCAGTGCCATCAGGCTGCCTGGAGCGGGTACCAATCCAACTGGGCTGGGAAACACGAGAATCCCCTGCAACACGACCTTGTGCCTCTGCTGACACGGCTGGATTTGCTGCTTGGGGGAGGCATGAACAAATGGGATGGGGAAATGCACCAAAAGTTCAAGTTTCACCTCAAACCCATCTCCTGTTGCTGCGGGATAACTCACAGGAGGCACTGAGCTTCAAGTAGGAAAAACACAGCTTTCCCCCACCAGAGTTCCTGGTTCCAGCCGTGGTTTCCCAATAAAAGCCCTTTGACAAGATGCCAGCGTAGGCAGATGAATGCAAAAGCCATTCCCGTCCATTTTCCACCGTGTGGTTTAATTTTCGCTTCCTGCCTGATTATTTCCTCCTCCTGAATCGAGCCTTCACCCTGTGAGGGGGTCAAGTGATTTTGGCCAGCAGTGCCCCTCTACAGCATACAGGGGGACAAGGACTCACAGACAGTGTGAGGGGCAGCAGTGGCAGTGCTTTTCCACCCTGATTTCCTAAAAAAATCACATATCTTGGAGACTACTTGGACTGCCTAATTATCATATAATCCCAGAACTCCACATCCTGTGGCTTTCAACTTTCGGGCTGTCACCCCTTTGTTTAACTCAGCCTCCCCTTAAAATAGATGTGTTTAAATTGCTCAGGGAAAGGCTCTGATCCAGAATTTGCTTTTGTCACCCACTGTGATTACAAGCCCCAGAAATGTCAAGACTAATCTCGGTTTGTGTTTCTTTTCAATACTGGGATTTTAGCTGTCATGTGGTGGGGGGACGTCCTGTTCCTCTCAGGGGCACCAGCAGAGCCTTGTTCACGGTGGGACTCCTGTTCTCCCCAGCTGAATCCTCTAATCAGCCCTAATTCTGAGTGTCATCAGCTGGGTGTGGGTGGTCCTAGGGGGCTGCACTTCCTATTCTCCTCTTATAAATGGAGGGTGAGGGGGGCCTGTTTTTCTTTTTTAGATATTCTTCTGGATTTGAGTTAGGATTTTTAGTGTTAAGTTTCTGTAGAGGTGCCTTGAAACCATAACTGTAGTCACCACAGGGGGTCTCTTTTGTTAGATTAGGGGTCTTTTTCTGTTTGAATGGGGTAGAACCCCAATGTATTTTCAGTGGAGCAGCTGATGGAGACTGTCCTGGGCTCTCTGCAGTGACTATTTGTGGACAGGGTTGTGATAAGGAGCTAAAATAATGGTCACAGAGCTGAGCAGTGGCAAAACCTGGCTTTGTGAGTGAATGGTCTGCTCAGGGGGTCCTGGAAGCTCAAACAGGGATGGATGTGGGCCTGTGAGCCTGGAGGATACCAGGGAGGAAAACCATGGGTGTGTGGCACCAGGATGCAGCTCCTGTTGTCTGGATGGCATGTGCAGCTCCCAAGCAGCCGTGGAGGAAGCTGATGGTGGAGGCCAAAGCTGCTCTTCACCCCAAGGAAGAAAGGGCTTGATTTGACTGGAGAGACACAACACAGAATAAACCAGTGCTGTGCGCCCTGAGCTCTTGGGGCAGGTAAGTGTGGTGGGTTTGCCCACTGTTCTTTTTTTTTTTTTTTTGTCTTTTTTTCTCCAGGGGATGAAAAAAATGGTAATACAGTGTAAAATGATTTTCTGGATTAAAAATAGGGGCTGGCTGCCTCTTTTGAACAAGCCAGTCTCCTCCTGGCCCTCCCTCCTGTTCCTGACCCTGTTCCAGGGGCAAGCGGAGCAGAGCTGTGGTGTGTGGGGATGGTTTTGAATCCTTCCAGTCCTTTTCTGTTGTGTCCAAGTCATGTTGGTGTAGTCCCTATATTCACAAGTTCCTTGTGGTTAACTCCTGGATGAACTTAGTGTAAAGAGTCTCAGTATTTTTTGAGAAAACAGAGGAAAGTTTTTGGCCTTGGGATTGTTTTTCTAGTTTCATGTAGCACATGAGGCACAGCCAGGTGGGAATTGTGTGCTCTGTGCTGGAGCTAAGCAGCTCTGCCAGGTACAGCTACCTGTTTAATCTCTGTGTTAACAACTCCTGCAGTTCCTGGCATGGTGTTCGGAAATATTTTAGTAATTCTGCAAAAACCAGCTGTGCCTCAGCTGTTTGTGGCTCAGACTTCACCTATTTGCCAACAACTGGTAACACTTGGAAAACAGTGCCTGAGATGGATAATATGGCCTGTCCACTTCAACTTGCAACCCATTAGGCAGGTCTTGATACCAGGAGGTTTTGTGTGTAGATGCTCTAAGTGATTTGGGACAGAAAAGGGTGTTACAAATGTTCAAGGCCAGGTTGGATGGTGTTTTGAGCAACCTGGTCTAGTGGAAGGTGTCCCTGCCCATGGCAGGGGGTTGGGATAAGATGATCTTTAAGGTCCCTCCCAACCCAAACCATTCTGTGATTCTTTGAAACTCCCTAAAGCTGGCAAGTACTTCAGTTCTTGTGTGTGTTGCAGTACATGTGGTGGTATCACAATTGCTCAGCTCTGCTCTTATCATTGCTGTCCAAAAAACCTGTTATCACAGGTTAGCTGTGCTTCAGCATATGGTTGTCTAATTAATATTATACTTAGTTACATTATAGTGGAAAATATCTCAATTCTGAGCTCCCAGAGCATCAACAGGCAACTTAATTTCTTACAGTAGAATGTAAGAAAGGAAGGCTTGGGGATCCATTTCAACAGGACTTGGCAGACCTTAAACACACACAGAAGGAGTTGGGTTTGGATGCAAAGCAGGTAATGGTGTCAGGTGTTACAGCTTGTCTGGGAGGTGTGAGATCAGTCTGTTTTCCAGGCTCACCTGGGAGTTTTTGGCAAATTCCTTCCTGCTTTAGGATGCTTGTGATGCCTGTGATCGTTCCCACAGCAAGTTAAAGCTGTGAGTTTGGGCAGGGCAATGGAAAGTGAGTTTTGTCCAAAAGAGGATATAACTGAGGAAGGTTTGTGGGCTAAACCTTGGTTGTCACTTATCACTGCTGGACTTGGGAGGTATAAAGTGGTTTTTAAGAAAAAAAACTGAACAAATTTACCTTTGAGAACAGGACTTTGGGGATTAAGCAGTTAATACTTCAACAATAACCAGTGTGAGCTGTGGTTCACTGGTCTCTACCACTGCCTCCTGATGGCTGAGAAATGGAGGAGCTTGAATTTCACCTTCTCTTTAAGTTTGTGGCAGAAACTGCTTTTCCATGGACTGCAGGACAATTCCAGGGGCTCTGTAGCATGACAACCAATATAATATGCTTATGCAGGCTTGTGGGACACCATGAGCTACCTGAGACCCCAAATAATGCTCTGAATCTGGGCTTCAAATGCTACTGTGTGACTTTCTAGAGCTGCTGTCTGTTAGTCATCTAAGGATTTATTTGAATTCGTTTAGTGGAACCTGGATGTTGTTAATTACATGTGAAAACCAAAGAACCATGGACTAAGTCCAGCAAGATTGATTGAAGTAGTCTGGAGCCTTTCTTACCTCGGTGATGTGCTGCACTAGGCTGGGAGAAATGCTGAGTTATTTCTGTCTGGAGAGAATGGCTGAAGCTTTCCTCATTTCCCCTCTTTGCCTTGGCATCCTGCTCGTGGTTCTCCTGAACAGATTGCAGATTGACACTGGGGTGTCTGCCTTGGGCTGAAGGAGCCTCACTGTGCAGAGTTCAAGGCTATAGATTATGCTCCTTGCTCAAGTTTTGTAACTTCTGTGATGTTTTTGTAGTCACCAGGTTGTTTGAAATGTCTTCCCTGGCTTTGGTCTGGAGAAGCACTCAAAAACCTACTTCTTGCTGGGTATTCAGTGAAAGGAGATGTGTGGCAGGGACATGCCTTTGAGTCAGAGATAAGCAACTGAGTCAGGACACCCAGGGTGTCTTTGGCTTGTACTGGGGATTGAGGAGGAGGAAACATTGTTTAAGACAAGGAACTGTGAGATTAAGGATCTGCTCTGTAGTGTCTCATTAGCTGGTGAAGCTCCAGGCTGTTCCTTAGCTGTTCTGGGACCTCAGGCTCTAAACCAAGTGGGATGAACAATTCCTGCTATGCTGCTTGTGAGGCTGAGTCCATAAGCAGGATGAGAGGGGGAGCAGAGGGTGGTTATGTGCTAAGAAAGGGTGAAGAGGTGCTCAGTGTCTGTGGCAGCAACCCCTGAGACCTCTAAACTTTTGTGTTGCTGCCTGT